AAGAGAGAGTATTTTGTATGGTGTGGGGTCATCTGAGGGCGTCAGTAGAAGATTGAGGATGTCCGCCGGCACGGATGATAGTATTTTGCCTAGCATGACGTGTTTCTGTTTCAAGTGGAGTTGTAGTTCAGTAGGTTCGGTAGGGGGTTGTGGATCTCCTGAGATGTGTTCGTACGCGTTGAGCGCGTGTGCAGCCGAGCGGAGGGCTAAGAGCCAGGGGACGTAGTTGGCGGGGTCTAGCTTTGGAAGGTCTTGTTCTTCCATGATCGATGAGGAGATGGAGTTTGTGACGTGGTTTGTGTCGTGTTCTTTGGCTGGATCAGTCGGATCTTGAGGTGTAGATGGTTCTGGCGTGATGTGTGTTGTCGGAGTTGTGATCGGTTCGTCGGTGTCGGCGGGGGTGGCTGGGATGTAAGTGAGAGAGTCGGTCTCGGAGTGGGTGGTGAGATGCCTGTGAAGGCGTTGGGGGTGCCTGTGATTTGCCGTTGCGGTGGATGTGTGGGGTTACATCGTGCGAGTGGTGTTGACAATGGTGCCCATAACCTGTTAGAACGTGAAACCCATAAGTCCGTTTATTCCCTCGTCGTCGTATCTACGTCTATATATATATTGTTCGGCACTGTAATGTCATTTGTAATGTGCGATCTGACATTTCGCAAACGTTTTTAAAGATGCTGGTCGCCGCGTTTATTACTGAACCAATCTGAGTCCGGAATCGGTCGTTTTGTGTCTTTTACAGTGTCAGAGAGTAGGCGCTTTTATGTTCTCGACCTGTATAACTCAAAACGCCACTCGACGATGGGTGTATTTTATTTGCGTTTCGCGTGTCCGGACGCAACCTGTCCACGTGGACAGGTGGACACGACGGACACCGCCGGCAGCGGCGACGGCGGGGAGTATATTAGGGATAGGATAGAGGAGAGCGAAAGTAAAAGAAAGGCGCATCTCGAGACGCCACAGGTTATGGGCCTTCGCTAAAGAAAGCCGCTACCACCGCCCGACGATCATCAAGCTCCGCAACACATAGCGTCGAGCCCGCGCTCCTTGCAAATCAAGTCGAGCAGCTCCACAAACCCGTGTCGAGCAACCCAAAATTCAGTCTACATTCCCCACATCCCCACGCAGGAGACGCAGACACTACTACCACACAGCCTATGCCTGGAAAGAACTCTGGCACAGTCACAACAAGAGACACGGGACAACACAATGACTCCACCGGTAGTAGAAGGTACACAGGACACCCCCATACAAGGGGCACAACAGCGCGCCACACCGCAGATAATGATGCAATACACACAACCACCGTGGAAATTCAGAGAGGAACTCCCAAAAATCACAGAGCGTAACTACCTCAAATGGAAATCCGCACTAACAAACATCCTCATCGAGCATGACCTCCAAGCCATCGCACAACCTGGATTCTCGCCCCCAACACATAACACCAGCACATTCTATGCAAAGGCATTCGCGAGCTGCAATCGTATGATTGCCGCAAGCATCGAAAACGACATCACCGACCTACTCCCAGATGACATATACGCCAAGCCACCGTCCTCAGTCATCGGAACGCTGGACGCGATACTCGTAAAGGAATCGGAGAGCATGCACGCTATACTCGAGAAAGAGACCAAGGCAATCAAACTGACGACAGACACAACAATACTAGACTACATCAGAAGGCACCGCATCCAAAGAGCTCGCATGCCAACAGCCAAATACCCTCACATCGCTAACGAACGCACAACCGTAAAATTTATGGTAGAGGGCCTGAGAGAACACCACCAGTTCAAAGACGTGATCGGCGACCTAAAAATATCGAGAATCCCACAAACGATCGACGAACTCTATGAGAGACTACAAGACGTTGAAGAAGAAAACACAAAAACCGACCCAACACCGACATCGGTCCCACAAGGTACAAGCTCGGGCGAGGGCTACAGACCGCTCACCGAGCGTACGCACCACGCTCGACGGGCCCAGCACAATTACGAAGAGCGCTGGCGCCGCGGACGAGGTAGAGGCCGCTGGGGACAAAACAGAGACATCAACGCACACCAGATCGCACAAATCGCCCAAGTCATGGCCGCCCTCAACAACCCTCGAAGCGAAAGGGGCGCCCCTCGGCGTGGAGCCGGAAATAGGCGCACGCCACAACGGGGCACGCAAGCGCAAAGCACGACAACAAATGAAGACATGTATGACGTCGACGATGCATTAGACCAAGCCACAATCAACGCCATCGAACAAAGATTACAAAACCACACAGAGGTCGCACATGGAAGTGACCGTAAGTACATCCTCGACTCAGCGGCACACCCCACGCACATTAATCACAGGGTACTGAAAATGCGCAAATTGCAAACACCACTGACCACGCACACCGCCACATCTACATCAAACGCCGCCACGCACCAGGGCATTCTGAGGACGAAAACTGACCGCGGTGTAAAAATACAACTCCCGGCAGTAATCCACCCAGACATCCGCAAAAATCTGATCTCTGTCAACCAGCTCGCAGGACAACACGGACATGTGCTCTTCTCACAGAAAAAGGGGTACATCCTCAACACCAAAAAGCCAGCACCACTCATCGCAGGGACAGCGGCTTGGCGAAACAACCAATACCAACTCAACAGCGCCGAAAGCAGCCTGGCATACGCGGCCAGAGCCTGGCCACACCGCAGACTGAACACAACGCGCAAACAGCGGACCACACCCCGCACAACACAATCGGACACGACAACACAGCCACCACAGCAGCCACACGTGAAAACGATAATAGAACGCGACAGAAGCAAAAGCCGTAAACAAATAGGACGAAAAACGACGCAACGGCAACCGACAACAAAACAGAGCGCACTGTGTACCTCCCTGACATAGCCCCGACCCCGACGAAACTCTCCACCAAAGACGCTGCATTCTATGAATATCACCTAATTTTTAATCATATAAAACTACGCACACTCCAGCAAATGGCAATACAGGAACTCCTACCTCTTCCCCCAATACTCAAACAGACCCCGCCCCGGCTGTCGTGTTCAGGATGCGCCCACGGCAAACAACGACCAAAGCCGCACACGCAAACCGAACATCGATACGAAGTCGCGGTGGCCCTCTCATCCGACGTATGCGGACCAATAACCCCAAAGTCGGCGCACGGAAACAAATACTTTGTCACTTTCATCGACACCAAGTCGAGATACGCGCTAGTATACTTCATAGCCACACGCAAAGACGTCATAAAACACATACGGAATACGATGGAACTCGTCAAAAAAATACACGGACGAGCACCACAGATACTGACAACAGATAATGGAGGCGAATATGTCAGCAAGGAGGCAAGGATTTACTATGACCGCGAGGGAATAACCGCCAAACTCAAAATACCGTACCAACCGCAGCAAAACGGCATAGCAGAACGGCTGAATGGGACACTGGTCAGCGCAGCCAGAGCCGCGCTCTACCACAGCAAACTACCACAAGAATACTGGGAAGGCGCGCTCCGGGACGCGGTGTTCAAAAATATAATCTATCAAGACACAGCGCCACGGGGCAAGTACCGCACACACTGTGGTTCGGAACACCCCCGTCCATCAGCGAGCTCTACGCATTTGGAGAATTAGGAACAGTTGCCGTCATCATGGACAAAATAGAATGCAAAAACTACACCCGCGCGCATACCCAGCCCGATACATGCACGCAATCAACGTTGCCAGGATAATAGTCCTCAACCTCACAAACGGACAATACAAACGAACCCGAACGACAGACTTTACACCATACAGTCGACAGACGGACCCTGTCAGCGCACACTTGAACGCATTTAAATGCTACATGCCACCACCAGACCCCCACAGCATAACGGAACGAACCCCTCCACCAGCATCGCGTAAACAGGCGCACCGATACCCAGACGCAGAACAATGGGGTCAAGCACACAAGGCCGAACTAGACAAACTAGATGAGGTCAAAGCCATCCAATGGGTACCCGATGTGGACCTACCCACGGGAGCAAAGCTAATCCCATTGACAATGGGATACAAATACAAACGGACAGCGGAAGGGGACATAATTGAAAGAAAAGCCAGATGCTCCCTCAGGGGAGACCTCATGCGCCCCCACCAGCATTATAATCCAGACCACACGGCCGCCCCAATGGCCGATAAAACAACTATACGACTGCTACTGGCCATCAGAGCCGCAAAGGGACTCATTGCCGAACACTTCGACATCAAGTCGGCATTCATACACGAAAATTACAAATACGTCGCAGAAGTGTACGTCAAACAACACCCTCGCTTTAACGGATACTACAAACACGGCGGAAAAGGCGGAAAACTCCTCAAAAACTTATACGGTAGTCCTTCAGGGGGTACTACTACCTACAAGGAGCCCAGAAACTGCTCACACAACACAAGTACACACAGAGTCAGCAGGACCCATGCTTTTTCTACAAAATTCAAAACAAACAGCGATACATCCTCATCGGCCTAAGCACCGACGACTTTCTCGTGGTATCCACGCACCACGACCTCATCGCCGAACTGTACGACACTTTGAAAGACAAGTACAAAATCAAAAGACAAGGACAACCGAAACTGCACCTAGGATGGAAGATATCTCACGGCGAAGACGGATCCGTACACATAGGCCAACCTCGCTATGTGGAATCGGCCCTGGACAATGCACGCATTACCCAAGCTAATGGTAGAGACACACCCCACGTCAGCGGAGTCAAATATCATTCAGCATCCTTCGATGACAAGCCAGTTCTACACCTCGCAGAAACGTTCTAAAAAATCGTGGGCGAACTGCGCTACATAACAGACTGCACCCGCCCCGACATAAAATTCTACGTCAATAAGCTGTCCGGCGCCATGCACAACCCAACCAGAAGACACTGGTTAATCTTAAAAAACACACTGCGGTACCTTAAGGCGACCAAGGACGAAGGCATCTTATAAAAAGCAACGCAGAAACAAACAAACCTAGTCGCCATGCTTCTCAAAGGAGAAACGAGCAAGCTGCACCCAATACACACATATACAGACACGGACCTCGCAGGTGACGACAACGATCGCAAGTCGTCGTCTGGAGCAGTTCACTTATTCAACGGCGCCCCGATCGCATGGAGCTCGGGAAAGCAGTCCTTAAAAGCCCTCTCCACCTGCGAAGCCGAATATATAGCGCCAACAACAGCACTTCAGACAACACAGTGGCTGAGGAGAATCCTGAGCGAGGCGCAACTACTACCGAATACCCCCACACCGATCTTCGTAGACAACAAAGCAGCCATCGCAGTAGCCAAAAGTGTCGCGTCAACACGCAAACGAAAATTCATAGGCCTAAGGCACCACTTTCTGCGCGAACACATCAAGAACGCAACGATCAAGGTCATACACGTACCATCCAAAAGCATGCTGGCCGACCTACTAACAAAACCCATGGGCAAACAAACATTCCTCCCTCTCAAAACCGCGCTGAGCATCTTACCACTCCCCGCGGCAAAACGACAAAAGAACATACCCTCTCCGCAAACTAAACATGCACCGGAACAGGAGGCGTGTCAGGACGCTCAAAAGAGTGAGCGCAAGCAGATGTTCCGGCGCATACCGCCAGCGACGAGTGTCAGGACGCAACCTGTCCACGTGGACAGGTGGACACGACGGACACCGCCGGCAGCGGCGACGGCGGGGAGTATATTAGGGATAGGATAGAGGAGAGCGAAAGTAAAAGAAAGGCGCATCTCGAGACGCCACATCGCGCACTGTAGGGCTCCCTCCCAACCCTGACCCCTCCTCCCCGTTCACCTCGTGCAGAAGCCACGTGGCCAGCTGGCGCATGCTGTACGGTAGAGCCTTCTGCCGCCTCCGTGTCAGGGTCGTAGCCACCGTAACGCGCAGGGGGTGCAGAGAAGCGTCATGTCGAGTCCGATCGCTTCGGTGGTCTGAAGTCCAACCCTGTTACACGTTATGGATGGCGAGTTCGCCCTGCCGAAGGCAAACACCTCTTCCCGGGTCCATCATTACAAAACTTCATAGCACTTTCGACTTATGTCCAAGTTCTTGTACGAACACAGTCTTGTGGGGGCCGAGTCGTTTTGCAGGCAGACGCCACAGAATCGTGCTGTTGCAAAACCTCTTCTTGAGAAGACAACAGCACGATCGGTGAGATCACCTAATCGCACCCTAGTTGTACCACAAAATCATGCTGTTAAAACCACCTAATCGCACCCTAGTTGTACCACAAAATCGTCCTGTTGCAAAACCTCTTCTCGCTCAATCGTACCCTGGTTGTAGCTATGCAGAGCTACGTTGTAACATCACGCGCATCCCATTCTTCCAGCAATCTAACTAGCCGTAGTGTGCAAATTCATCCTACGAGCAACGGACCATTCTTCAGCTTAGACATGCAGGCAAAGAACACACCGTTGTTCGTCGCTCTACAAAAACAATCTATTCTACAAAAAGAAATCTTTTCCCCATAATCCTCGTCAATGCGTTAACCCGTGCTACTCTGAATCGAAGTTGCTCACACCTTGGAACATTTAACAACCTCCTTTCATAGCCTTGCAGCAGAAGGAGGACCCATTCTTCACATGTCTAGTTAATAGAATGACATTCGTTTCAATCAAACCAGCTTCTCTAGCTGTATGCCTCCTTATTGCGTCATCCTTGCCACCTCAGAGAGAGTCACAACATTCATTTTGCCTCCTCGGTACAAATCAGCGCACGCGTTCAACTGTACGCTTGCATGGGCGTACACCGAAGAAACGCTACAATCTTCTGTGACAACGATGTTCGCCTCGAACGTTTACCAAAAAAGCATTCGAGCTCCAACGAAACACATTCGCCGTTGCATGCTTGCAACATCTGCACCTGGATTACCCACCCTATTCTTCCTACATCCTCTACATACAATTTGCCTAGCCGCGAGGTACCCGTATCCTTCATGTACAACGACGCGTACAACGACGCGTAGAGCGCGTACGTAACTTCAACAAAACTCGACAGAACGCCTGACCAGTCACGGCCTCGCCGTCTGCTTTTGAAGTATATATTCAGTACATGGGAGGTGGAGGAACGATTAACAATGAACTGTCACAGACACTCACGAGCTTCTTGTGCAGAACATTGCAACTTTGTTTACACATAGCCGACGTTAGTATTCATGTTTGTTTCCTTGAGAATGAATAGGTTATTCATTCTCAAGGAAACTATTGTTTGACTAAGGCCTTGCAGTCCTGCCACTCGGATTAATTAATCCAGGCCTCTGCTATCGATTTTTTTGGCTTTCCCCCACTGCCCGGTAAAATAGCAAATACCTCAAGACATTTGCAATTCCCCAACTGTCGGAGACGCGATTTATTGGTCACAGAGTCAAGAGTTAGAGACAGGGAATGCGCACCATACTGTAGTATGATATGCAAAACATCTCTCCCTAAATTCGGCCCTCGTCCTGTTGCTTGGGCCAGCCCCTTGCATGAACTAGGAAAGGGTAGGAACGGCCCTCAGGGCCGTTATTATCCAATATCCTAATGAGTACATACTGGCATTGATGCACTTCTCACAAGTTGCGAAACTTCGACGCTGAAGTTGTGACGGTATTCAGGAGAATTGATTACAGTATTTGTTGCTAGATGCGCATTGCTGAGCTCCCCCAGTTCTTGACAGTTGATCATTTGCGCTGTAAATCACATGTTTGTCTTGCTACCTTTATTTACCCCTCCTTTGCCCGCACCGGGACTGCTGCAGGTTTCTCAAAGCCTTGTTAACCGCGCAAGGTGCTCTATGGTGCATATATCTTGGGACAGCAAGCACTGGTAGGACAGCAAGCATTGGTAGGACAGCAAGCATTGGTAGGACATCGAAGAAGCTCATCTCAAGGCGCTTCAATGGGGCGTTGATTCAGGATTCACGTGCCTGGAGGACAAGAATTGCTACTCGTTTTTGGACGGATATAGTTTGTAGTGCAGCATGACTGGAACTATGGAAACTGCGCGTCTGCACAGGAGCTTCTCCTTTGAATGTCACGTGTCCCTACTGTCTTTTGAGGTGACGGTGACAGTGACGCCTAGTTGGACGTTAGATACGACAGGCTTGTTGCAGGCTGTGTAGTTTAATCTAGTCTGGAATGATTGATGGAAGTCCTTGGCAACCAAGTGCCAGCAGGTGAGAAATCACTATGATGGGTCTGTCAACGAGGAGCCCGAGAAAATCTAATTTGATGTCGTCGTTAAGTCGAGAATCCGCCGTAGACTACATTTCTCGCGTAGATTCTCCGCTTCTGTTCTTGGATTTTTACAAAGGTTGGCAGGACAACAGCAGAAGGGTGCCAACTCTGTCTCGAGTGGACGTTTACGACCATCGCCTGGTCAATGATAGTCTTCGCTTGCTGCTTCAGAGCTCTTTTGAACTGTCCTTTCCTACCTTCAATATTTACAGACTCCCTGCATGGCGGAATATGCGGTTAAAAGCGGGCCACGACTGCCTCCGTTTTTTATGTGACGCTTCGATACTGAAAAGATCAGGTTGATGCACGAGGTGTTCTCGAAGCACATGGAAAGTTTCGAAGTCCTTGCTCGAGCGACCTCACAGTATACGACAAAGAGTTTTTTGCTTGATTTCATGAGGTAAGGCTTTAGACTTGTTGCCTGGAAACAAGTTTGCAACAAGAAATATAGATTTACGGCATCTTGACTAAAAACTACTGCGGGATCTGGGGGGGTTTTGGGTAGCACAGAACGATGTGGCAGCGTTGTCATTAATCAAAATACTAACATTTTCCTGTCGGGCCATTTTATGTGAGCAACCCCAAATTATAGGTGATTGGTTGAACGGGCAATTGTATTCGGTCCGATCGGACTCGACAGCTGCCACGTGGAAGGACAAAGCCCGGGCTACTTGGAGAACGGCCAGAGCGATCACGACTCGATCCGCTGTCCTGTAGAGTAGAGCTGCCTGCCCTCGTTCGCAACAAACGTTGTCGAGCTTGGAGCTTGCATGCATCGTACTTGTACCCTGCAAAGAGCCGTCGAAACTAATTTCTCACAGACGTCTGCGTTGCTCACTGCAATTTACTCCTGATCATTCTGGTCGAAAATCTTGCTGCACAACCAAGCTATCGACAACTGCAAAGATGGGACCTGCCTTCGTCGTTTCCCTGGCCTTGCAAGGCAGCCTATTCACCCCCTGCCGGACCGCAACATGCCGGCTTCCCCAATCGCCAGTCACTCGTCCGAGTGTCCGACGAATGCGGCGAACAGAAGCTATGGTGCAGAAAATAAGCACAGCGCCTGCGACCTCGGATGCGCTGGCTACATTTGCATCGTTTTTTTCCTGTATGCCCGGGGCATGGAACTCGCAGCGCACGTACCACTATTTGAGCCCTGGCGCCGCGCAAACATGTGAGGAGTCCCAGACGACGTTTGACGTGGAGCGACTGGACGAGTCGCAAGTGACTGCGGTGTTGCTCTCGAACAAAGCCGTTTCCGGGGACGTGTCTGCGGCGCAAGGATTTCGGGTTTCCTTTCTTACACGCATGGCAAGCCAGGAGAAACTGGTTCGTGCGGGGACCAATCTGGCGTTTGTGCCAGAGGTCGTTGCTGATGGTATGGTGACGGGCGCGTATTATCGCGACGTTGGTTATGAGGAGGGAGGCCCGACTCGAGCACGGTTTTTGTTTTCAGCTGAGACGCGGCAGTTGCAGATGACGACGTGGTATTCGAAAGTGGTCTCCGTTGATGAGATCCGCCTCATTCACGACAGGCTTAGAATTAGACGAATTATTAATTACAGAAGACCCACTCAAGCAGAGATGCCTTTAGACGATCCAATGCTGATCGGGTACGGAGTTGAAGTGAAGGGTGAAAACAAACGACTTGTCGAGTGAATAGAGATAACGCGACTCGGATGGTGAAAGTTGGAAGCGTTGTCTCGAGATCGGAAAGGAGGCGCTTGGATTTTTTGTTGAGCAAATTACATGACTCTTAGTCATAATCCAAAATGATGATTCCGAATCGTAGCACTTCGGCAGAAGGCTGCACTAGGGTGCTCTGTTGGAAAAAACAGCGGAGTACCAATTAAAAAAATCGATGGCGATGTAGGACACGACGGTGTCCTACGTCACCACCGAAAGTTTGTGTCATGATGTCTGTGAAAGGGAAACGCGTGGCTTTTCGAAAAAATGGGAACAGGTGGGTGGAAGACCGGAAACAGCACTGTTGTTCTTTCCAGACACCTTGATGATCAGCGGGCCTAAGCAGACAGGGATGGTGTACGACATGGCAATACGAGAAAAATTGACTTACATAGGTCAGGAGCAAGTGTACAGAAGCAATAGTAGTTTGTTGATGAAGCTTCCTTTCTGGTCCAGTGATGGAACGGCAGTATCTATGTAGAAAAACGATCGGGGTGGGAAGACGCGGTACGAGTGAAATGTAGCACGTGTGTCAAGATGAGAGGACGAGGGTCAGAATGGAAGACAGAATGCAGAATTAGAGAGTGAAAGTGCAGGACGATATGAAGGGGGATGGCGATGCAGAGAGGGGCACGTGGAGTTCTGGGAAGGGGCATACAGGCGAGTCACGGGTCTATTAGAGCGAAACACTAGAGTAGTGGAACATAAACTACAGTACTAGGACGGCGGTTTTTTTTTTGTAGTGTGAGATATGTCGTAGCGAATTAGTCATGAGAGTAGGACGTGAGCAGGGGTCAGG